TATATATGTATCGCGAGCTGCATTGCTTATCTTGATGCTCTGCTTCAGAAAATTTAGTCCGTTTTCATTTGCGATAATTATTGTAAAGATGTTGCACTCAGAGTTGAACTGACCAGGGCGGGAAACTTCTAACTCGCCTCTCCCAGATCTGACCCAGATGACACAAAGATTATCAGATGGTGTTTGATTTCTCGATGGGGTCTGCAAATCCACCGTCAAATCTATCATTTTTTAAAATCTATTTTGCGGATGCAGGTCATAAGAATTGTATAATATGTAATTGTCCAATCAAGTTTTGTACAATTCATTGTTACGTGTGCAGACATTGTAACTTGTAGGTTTCATTTTTTCTTCTCTTCTATCTAGGTTCAAGAAGCCCCAGGTATGGCCTCTCCGACGAAGCCTTGCTTTGATGTGTTGCTCCTGGGGAAGACTGGCCATGGCAAATCCGCGACTGGTAACTCTATCCTGGGGAGTAGAACATTCAAGGTTTCTTCCTCAACGAGCCCGGAAACTTCCGAGGTCTCCAAGATTTGGACAGAACGCGACAACTGCGTGATTAAAGTGATCGACTGTCCAGGGATTGGGAAAACCCGACTAGACAAGCCAGAGGCCGTGAACAAAGCAATGGAGGACTTGAGCAAGGCGATGATCACTTGCCCTGGGGGCCTTCACGCTTTGCTTTTTGTTTACAAATTTGGCTCATGGTTCAACGAGGAAGAACAGGCCAGGATAGACTTCCTCAAAGGCGTGCTTGGTAAGGACGTGTTTGAAAAGTACGGCGTATGTGTGATGACAAATGGCGACAACTTTAGAGGTGCCATGGAGGAGGAAGAAACCCCCCAGAAAACGCCTCTTGTTTGGTGTAGAGAACAAAACAATACATTTTCCTGTTTGGTCAAGGAATGCGGCGATCGGCTTGTGATGTTCGACAACAGATCGAAAGATCAGAAAATTAAACATGACCAGGTAGAAGAGTTAGTGAAGCTTTTGAGAGCTCTTCCAAACCACGAGCTGTACACAAACAAGCAACTTACCCAAATGCACAAAGAGCGCGAAAAGTTGACATTAAAAACAAAGCTACCGCAGATGGAAGAGCAAATTTAGAGGGACTGCAGACTGCTGAAAGAATTTTTTTGAGAGAATCGACCTGAAGCCCCTGGACAGGTGGCAGATCTGAAGAGAAAAGCGGATCAGTTGATTAAAGACATTGATGAACAGGATAAGGAAATTAGAGTTCTTCAACCTCTCAAGACAAAGATAGAGTCCGTTTTCATGAATTCATCCTAATTTGTAAAAAGTACGAAGCAGCCCAACGCGAAAAGACCAAGTGAAACAGGCCCTTGAAAAGAAAGAGGGGGAATTGATTCACAAAAGCCGCACAGCAATGAACTGTTTCACGAGTTACCAATTACGTAAACAAAGAACCTATTCCTATTGTATGTCCCTTAAGATTTTTAATTTGTCCCGAGTTTGGAGAAAAGAAGCAGGTTTGCCTATTAATCGGACAGAAAACGGAATCATTGTTTGCCTGTGGTTTTGACTTATGCGACTGTGCTAGTTGGCATAACTGAGAATTGCGCCAAATGCAACTAGCCTTTTATATTGGTTGTTGGTCTGTCTTTTTGGTAAAGCCAAAGCGAAAAATGCGTGGCAAGTTGTACGTGTACCATTATTTGATGATAACTATTCTGGTTAAAAACAGTTTTTTTTTTCTATTCATCTGAAAAGTAGCAAAAATGAGAAGTGCCATTTTGCTAGCGCAGTGAGGATTTAGGACTTGGATGTTGTCGAAAACGCTGTACACATTATACCTTTGCTGTTGTAGTCGAAGGAAACACCACTGAACAATTTCCCATCATCTTTGTGGGCTTCGAATGGTTGCATTGACTTATTAAGAACTGTTGGTTTTAAAGTTCAAGCTTAGAAGTCCTTGAGCTTGATCATCAATAATCTATTTATAGAGGCACCAGCCATCCATGTCCATGTGCTGTTTTAGCCTCTGTCTCCTGTCTGTTGATTAGTTGTTGTTTTGTTGTTTTTTTAATTTGGTTCCACTTCCATGCACCCTGTTTTCAACCTGGAAATCACCAAATCACCAATACAAAGTAATTTTTTCCCTTTACCCCCCCCCCCCCCCCCCAACTATTATTGTCTTCATTGACGTTACAGCCTGTGAGAGAAGTTTGTTGCATCTCTGGTGGATTTAAGTTTGGTGACGTCAACCTTTTAGGCTTCTCGTGGGGAGAATGCGCAGCTTAAACTTGGATGTGATGAGGCGATGGTCAGTCCAGCAGTCAGCACCGCACAAGGCCCTTGTCACTCTAACGTCCTGCCTGTCACTTTTCCTGGTGATGACGTCATCTAAGAGATGCCAGTGACGAGAGCCAGGATGCATCCAGGATGTCTTGTTGGCAGTGGGTAGGCAGAACAAAGTGTTGGTGATGATGAGGCCGTATGTATCGCACATTTTTAGAAGTAGTTGGTCGTTGCTGTTACATTTGCCAGTTTCATGCCTTTCAATGATCCCCTCCCAGTTTTGATGGTCTGTCCCTACTCGAGCCTTGAACTCCCCGAGAACTATGAGCTTGTCTGGTTTTGGGACTGCTGAGATGAGGGCATGCAGGTCTTCGTAAAATTTGTCCTTCATATCGTTAGGGTTTGTCATCGTAGGGGCATAAGCGCTGATCAGTGTTGCGCTTTTCTTGCCTGCTAGTTTTATCTGTAGTTTCATAAGGCGATCGTTCGGGCTTTCTGGAAGCTTGCTGAGTTTTCGAGAGACGTGGGTCTTCGTAGCAAATCCCACTCCTGCTTCGCGCCTTTCATCGGTGTTGTGACTGCTCCAGAAGAAGGTATAGCCACCACCCTCCTCTGCCAGTTGGCCCTTTTCCGCAGGTAATGTTTCACTTAGAGTGATGTTGTAGCGTGCTAGCTCTTTTGCGAACAGTGCAGTTCTCCTTTCTGGTCTGTCTGCTTTGGTGTTGTCCAACAAGGTGCTGACGTTCCATGGGACAAGTTTGAGAGCCACCACTCCTTTTCTTGTTGTTGATCCACCGCTGTAAGGGGATCCCGGCAGCTGCGGTAAACTGGCCAGCAGGTTAGGCAGAAGCAGGCTATTTTTAGGGCACCTTTTCTAGCCCTTTCCTCCTAGGAGGTGAGCAGAGCTAATCCTAAACAGGGCTGCTCAGACACCCAGGGGGCTGCCGAGCTCCACTGCTGCTTCAGTTCAGTAGAGAGCGACCCATCGCCCTGAGCCGCCTGTGTGCAGGTCTGTGACTTCAGCTCCCAGTGTATCCACACCTGCTGCTTCAGTAATTGCAACTGACGTGAGGTACTACCTGTCCCCCTGAACCCAATACCACAGTACACTAATGATAATGATAATAATAATAATAATAATAATAATAATAATAATAATAATAATAATAATAATAATAATAATAATAATAGTAGTAGTAATAAAAACAATAATAAGAACAATAAGAACAATAAGAACGATAATAGTATTAATAATAATAATAATAATAATAATAATAATAATAATAATAATAATAATAATAATAATAATAATAATAATAATAATAATAATAATAATAATAATAATAATAATAATACAATATACATTAATAAATGAATGAATGAATAACATCTTTTCCTGGAACATACTCATATTCCATCGCCGCAATCCCCCCCCCCCCCCCCCTCCCCGCCTCAACGCCCCATCCCCACTTAATTTAATAGATGAATATTTCTTATTTATTTCTTCTAGTAGTCTTTAAATAATAAGCTCCGTTTGATTGCTTCTTTTTGGGTATAGAATGTTTGTAGTGTCATAATGAATACCTTCTTTTCTAAATTGATCTTTTAAAGTATTTTGGTATTGTTTGAACTGTTCACATTCCAAAAGTACGTGATCAATTGATAGTGTTATTTGGCATATTTGATTTTTTTTAATGAATAAATATAGTGAATATAATCTGAGCCGTGTAATCCTGTTTTGGCCCTCTCCAAACGGTACTATAGTTTTTATGTTTGATACTATCTTTTTGAAGAATGTGCCTGTCTTTGAGTTTGTCCATGCAGTCTGAAAATTGTTTTCTTTTACTCTTTCGTGCAAAAGATTATTTTTTTTCGAGGAGTCCTTTCTTTTTCATTCTTCCCTTGTTTGCTAGTTCGTCAGCTCTCTCATTCCCATCTATTCTGCAAAGTGATGGTTTTCAAATAATGGTAACCCTTTTTCCGTTAGTTAGTTCATGTAATTCAATTATGTCCTGGAGAATTTCAAACCTGTCAAATCGTCACAAATCTACCATTATTTCTGTACGGTTCTCCAAGTGATTGGGCTGCCGAGAGAGAACCAGTGAGTAGAAGAATGTCCCTGGCTAACTCTGTACTGCAAGCCTCTTTCATTGCTCCCTGTATCACTATCAGTTCAGTAGTAAGATTAGAAGTATAATCTGTTATTCGTGAATGCGACCGAATATTTGTTTTTACCCTAGAATCTTGACCCAGTGCGTCCATCCTCCTTGGATCCATCGGTGAAATACTGGTTATGATTACTACTATATAAGTCATGAATATGTTTTCTTGCAATATTTTTCATTGATTTGTCTTCTCTCTCTTTATTTTGTTCTTTTTAAAGTTTAGTAGAGGTTTTACGCGCTCGCAACTGCAAAAGGTCATATGAGCGCCATTTTGTTCTTTAGTATAAGGTCCACATTAAAGTCACAATATTTCCATAAAGATAGAATCTAGTTCTTGTTTCAGTATGGTGGACACATTTTTTTTTAAACTTTCAAAGTTCCCATAATCGCTTGCGTGCTTTCTACAATGCCGTTTTTAGTTCTGAGATGTTTGTTTGCGATCTTGATTATTTGTCTCTGTAGACATTCCTAGCGTTGTTGTCTTTATTATAATTTATTCTATGCCATGCTTTGACCTTGCTCTCTTGTCTTCTCCTCCATAGGCCAGTCTGTTCAGTATCAATGTTTTTATTTTAGAATTTATCCCCCAGGTTTTTTCTTGTTGTGTCTTTCAAAATTAATAATAATATTGAGGATGTTGATTCCTTTCTTATATTTTTCAACGATATGCTCCTTAAACTGAAGGAATTTATCAAGCCTAACTCCTAGATATTTTACTGCTTTACATAGTTTCTGGTTACAGAAAATTGCTTGGGTTTTGTTTACACTTACCTTAAATCCAAGATTTGTTAGAGTTTCGATGAGGACTTTTGTTGGATTTCCAATAGCTTTTTAAAAAAAAAGAGTGGTATTCTTTTTTGCTCTCTTTCCGGGGGCATGTTTGTATTTATCCACAATGCAGTGTCATCTGTAAACTGTTCAATGCTTATCCTGTGATATTTTTCTTTTATTGCTCGTACTGAATTTATCAATAAATTAAAACGTGTGGGAGAGATTACTGCCCCTTAATGTGTACCATTTTCCTGACTTTTTATTTCAGATAATACGCCTCCAACTTTAGCCTGGAATGTCCTTTCATAAAGAAAATCCTTAATACAATTATACATATTACCTGTTAGGCACACGCACACTCACTCTCTCTCTCTCTCTCTCA